AATCCAATGGTTTGGTGTGGTAATATTAGAGCTACATACCTCACTATTAATCCTTTATTCTATGCAAACACCAAGCATATCAAAATTGACTTTCATTTTTTCGCAGACATGGTTTCAAGAGGGAGTCTACATGTTTTTTTTATTCCGGACAGGACCGGATTACGTACATCTTAACTAACCTTTAGGCACCACACATTTTCAATTTCTTTGGAATAAACTCTCTATGGGTGAACGACCATAGTTAGTTTATGGAAAAGTGTTAAGACATGACTCTATCATATCTTCTTCTTCTTCTACTACTCCTATGCCTCTTTTAATAGAATCATCCTATTCTTTTACCTTTACTACCATGTCTTATACTTCTTTTGTCTCTTGTCGTGTCCTTTCTTCTTTTAAGTTTCCTAAACATAAGTAATAATAACAGTATACATATAATAATAAAAGACATATAATGAGATATAGTAACGAAGTTCGTTATTTTTTATTTCTTTGTAATTTGTTAAAACTCCATAAAAAATAGCGTAACACAAGTAATACATTTATTGAGCTTATAAACCTGCTTTCGTTCCCTCTATTTCAGTTGTTTGAACAAACAAATAAATGCAAAACACATCAAGTTTAAGTATGAATTTTTTTTTTTAACTCACACATCCAAAACTTCTAATAAAACTAATATGTTATTATTTGAATCCATAACCTCTTATAAGTATAAATATGAATTAAAAACGCTTCATATATCAACTTTCATATGATTTATTGATTGACAAAAGGAGGCACATGCCACGAAGATTTTCCCAACTAACGAGCATTTTAACTTGTACAGGATAAGATTAACCCATCGATTACCTCATCAATAAACATGGGGAAGCAATAAAGATGGGTACTTTGTTGAAGACAGTACAAAGATTTGAATCTATGTGTATGCTGGGGAGAGAATGGGAAAAGATCTTTGGTAGGTGTAGTGAGAAAGAGGGAAGGGTTAGGTTGAGAGCAGACAGATATGTGATGTCCAGCTCACTAGGCTACGTCACAACCAGTAGTATGGTCCTATCCCCTTATCGTTCAACAAATAAACACTACTTTATGAATGTTGGATAAGCATGTCAATGCACTGTCCCTTTCTCTGTTTCCCCTTTTAGCCTTTTCTAGACAAACAAAATTATTCATTTCAACATTTGCTTATAAATTCACAAGACGGTGTACGTCAAGAATGATACCTGGAGAGTGGCGACACTAGAGGAGTTTTTATGCTCACATACTTCTGTATTTGAATCTGAACATCACAATCAAAGAGCTTATGTATTTGATTATTCTAGCTTTAGGTTTAATTTTCCAAGTTAACCGGAACTTGTATGTTTTTTCAAAGAATAACTTAAAAATTGAATAGTTTTAAACAATAAATTCAACTTTTGTAATTTTGTAATTAAATATTCAAATCCCTTAAATATCCAAATATGACATTAATTTTTATTTTTCGCATAATATAATATTTATAGTTAATTTATTGACCCTTGAATTTATCATAATTTTTATACGATTAATGAAATAACATTTTATTGTATGATAACTGGAATAACATGTTATTAACATGTGTATAGAACATTATATAAATTAAATATTAATTCTATGTAACATTCATGTGGTCTAATCTTTTAAGCTAGTTACCATATACAAATATGATTAAGAAAAATATAATTTTATTATCAAATATCGTTTTACTTGTTATATATATATATACTACTACTACTTAATTTAACAATAGTAAATGAATTAAGATAATAAGATCACGACATCAAGTATCGTTCATGCTTACAGAGTTATTAGTGTATTCTCATAATCCATCCATTTTAAAATCTCTTTCGGTTTTAGTTATTACATAGTATATGTCATACTACAGAGGTAATTTAATAAAATAGGATTACTCTTCCTAAGCAGTACTAATCTGTGTGTGTATATATATATATATATATATATTTTATTCATTTTGCGTTAGGTTATTCATGTAACGAAAAATATGTGATTTAATTATGTAGCACCCGATATATATATATATTTAAATATTTTCAATTAAAACATTCGATTCCTAGTTTCAGAGGCTTTGGTAGTCAGCTCAGTAACTAGTCAAGAGCTGAGCCTAACGGAGACCAGCAGGCTGCAGGCTTCTACGCCCATGTGGAATTGGGCTGAATTAAATTTCATTGAAAAGGACTAAGTGTCTAAGGGCTCATGCCAGAAGGCCAGATTCATGCATGGCTTTAAGCCCGAGGCCTTTAGCAAGCATATATAGCTACACGACCAACGAAATTGTCCAATGAGATGGACTCAGGCCATTACTGTAGTAAAGAAGAAGAAAGGGCACCGATGAAGTAAATTTAAGGATTTTCTTTTCTGAGTATGTATTTGTATTCCAAAATATAGTTTAATCCACGATTCTTCATCCATCCATATGTCAATTTTTTTCTTCTTTTCAAGACCAATAATAAGAGCATGTGAGTTATTTAACAACACATGTTCCACAACAATGTCCTCACTCAATCTTAAATTACTTGCCAAAATGTGTTTTGTGAATTAAACACTTCATCAATCATTTTAAATGAAAGAATTACATAGACTTTATTATCACCCAAGACCGGCCAATTACATGCTCCATTTATGTTTATTGAATAAGGACTATCCCAAAGATGAATATTGCATAGCACATCGCAGTGTAATTCTCTCCAAGGATTTGTCCTTAAGGAATATATAGTGGCTCTATATGAACATTTTGGTTGGCAGTCATCATCACATACAAAATTTTATACATTTGTTGGGAAATGAATCAAGGAAAAGAATAGAATAGAAAAACAAGAATAATCATACAATATAAAAATTTTACATGGTACAATAATGGTAGTGTTGCCTCTGTTTGTAGTGTGAACAACTAAGTTTTTTTTTTTTTTTTTTTTTAAAAAAAAAACCCTAATAAGTTTATATATCTAATTCGATATTCTATAGACATTTAGAAAGCTCTGTCCTCGAGCTCCCGCAAGGAAGGTTGCCTTATTGACTTTCGTTTACTAACCACCCAATGAGACTCTCATTGTGAATCTCTATAGCGTTTTATATTATGTATCGTTCGTCTTACAATCGAAACCAAACCCAAGATAATCTAGACTCACAACTCTCTCATTCCTATATTAACTAAAACATATGCTCCATGAAATCCATAACAAATCATTAAATATATGCCATTGCATGGACCACAAACTTGTATTGAATAGTCACCGTTCCTAAAACATGGAATATCTAGCAAATCTAAGGATAGATTGTCTGATATTTCATTAGAGGACAACAAGGAGATAACTGCTTTGTGATACTGATTGCCGACAAAACCAGTCTCAAGCATCCTCTCTGGCATCCTAGCTATAACACTCATAACAGTGAGATGGATATTTTTTTTAGAAATGCTTTTCTGATTGAAGAAGAGGTGCTGGTTCGCAAAATTTGGGTGTTTGATGTTGAGTTTATACCACAATTTACGAACGCACTTGAATCATAAAAGAGGTTTTGTAATAGAATTCCCAACACCAAATCACAAGACAGATTTTTGTTCCTCCTGTGATCAAACAAAAAAGAGAGCTTATTTCTTTGTTTTTGTTGATATATATGCTCAATGCATCTCTATATATAAATATTGAAATAACAAAGAATGTTACCTATATAAGATTTTTATTTTTTATTTTTTATCCTTAAGGTCTCCCAATCCTAAAGATCCAGATTAATTTCTCGATGTTCGATTAGACACACAAAATGGGCATAATCACTCAAAAAGTTTTCTGCGTATATAAAGATTTAAATCCGAAACCACTTACTTAAATGATTAGAGCACTTTTCGCTCACCTCAACTCTCTTGGATAGCTTTAAATTTATTACATGCATCATCATCTAGTAGTGATAATAATTGCATAGTTAACTATTTTTATGCAAATTAAATAAAAGGAAATGTAAAATCTTGGTGAAGTATAAGAAAATGATTGTCCCTCTTTTATCTATATTTGTTAATTATGTTATTTTTGCTTGATTAATTTTCAAACCTTTGTCTATTTCTTTATTATAATAATCTAATCTTTAGTAATCATATTTAAAGAAAGCATGCTTAGGCTATGTTTTGAGTCATCAACATGCAATTCCATCACTGGTGTCAAATTCTGTTCAACTCAATTTTTCTTAGCTACAAATTGATGTGGATGGTAGACATAGGTTTTATATATTTATAGGGTTTTTAGGATACTTTCACTTGTTGTGAAGGTAGTAAAATACAAAATTCTTCAATTGAATACTCATAATAACAATTCATTCACACCTCAATGTGATAATTAGCATAAAATTCTAAAGTCAATAATTTTTTTATTTTAGACCATGAACAAATCTTAATCTTACCTATAAATATCACTGTTTCATTTCTATCCCTATAGTTTAAAACTTTGCAATGTTGTCCTGCTAGTTTCCAAAAGAATTTCAATGTTACCCTTGAAAATAGGCTCTTTTTGATTGAGAGCAAATCTTCTTTCAAAGAATTCCTTTAATAGCTAGCCTAACTTGAATTTGGTTTTTGATGGTTTAAAGTGTTTCTTATAATATTAGTTATGGATATTTCAGTGGAAAAATGAGAAAAATATTAGAAATTATAAAATAAAAATATGGACAAAAACATGAAATTTTCAAAGAATCGCAAGGGTAAATTTGGGAAATTTTAAAACACGACGGTGGAAGCTTAGCATTGGTGAATATATAGGGGCAAAAACATGGTTTTCCAATTACCCTAAATACCCCGATGGTAAACGACGTGTCGTCCTCTTTGCATGTAACGGGAACTCCGTCACTTTTCCTGCTCTGGCCCGCCCGCTGTAAAATGTGCCTAAGTAACTAACCGAAAGCTCTGAGTTGCCCTTTTGCCGCTGTAACCACAAACAGAAAATTCCCGATTCAAACGTTTGAATCTTCAATAAAAAAATTCCCAAATGAAAACCCTAGTTTTCATAAATCCAATCAATTACACAATCCCACAATTCCCTTCTTCAATTTTCCTCTTCCACTTTCCATCACTTTCTCGAGAAAATAAAAAATCCCTCCTCTACATTTCCCATACAAAAAACCCCCTCTTTACTCACAAACACCAACATTTCTCTCCAATCAAAGCATCTACTTCAGACGCTTATCATGGCTGGGATGACTTGGGACTCAGGGGTGGGGACTCGGTCAACTCGGGTGAGTCAACCCAGTTGAGGAATTTTCTAGTTTCTATAGGAGCTGATGATAAAAAACATGTCTTTATGTTTGTATTAGGAATTTTTTGTGCTCTTGCAATCTCTAGGGTTAGGGTTTCTTCAATTATAGTGTTTCCAGCTTCTGTTTTGGTTTTTGCAGTTGGGTTTTCAATTGGGTTTGTACGTGGGGTCAGTTTTAACGAGTTTAATGCGAATGCAATTAAGAGAAAGGGTAAAGAGGAGTTTTTTAGGGTTTATAGTGAGATGTTAAGGGGTTTGATGTGGTTCTTTGATGGGTTTGATGTTAAAGCTAATGACTTGAAGAATGCTATACAAAGAGCTATTGATACTAAAGAGATTGAATTGAGTGATTTGGAGAATTATGTTAATGTGATTCAATCAATAAAGGTTTTGGCTTTGAATGCGAGAAATTCTGTTGAGGCAAGCATTGATAGTGTGGGAAATGTTAATGGTGTTTTAGTTGAGAATCAGAAATCATCATCATCAAGTAAGAAAAGGAAGGAGATTGGTGAAGTTGGGTTTGAGTTGTTACAGTTTGTTGGGGGTTTGTTTGGAGAGAAAGCAGTTAGTTTGAAGAGTAATAAAGTGAAGGAGAAAGAGAAAGAGAAAGAGAAAGTTAAGCAGGGGACTGCTGAAGTTGTGGTAAATGATCGAGCTCAAGGAAATAACTCAACTCCGGTTATTGAAGAAGCGGTTCTTAATGCTGTTGATAATGAGAAAGGGGATAGGGATTTCCTGTTTTCTCAAGGTTCAACGAATAAGTCTGCTTTGGATTGGGATAGTCAACGAAGGATTAGAGTTGTTTCAGAAAATGGAAGAACGAATTTGAGGGATTTAGGTGGGGATAGAAAAAGACTTGTTGATTGTGAAGAATCTCTTGACCAAAATAACAGATTGCAGTTCATGAATAATCAGAGTGTTTCTTGGGAGATGGATCAAAATAATGAAACTGAAACATGGAAATCCCAGGATAGTCGAATTGATTCTGTGGATTTTGGTGTCAGTTTGGAACAAATGGAAACAGAAACTTCCTTTGTGCAAAAGCAGATGTACAAGAAGTCTTCTGGAGCTTACAGATCCTCGCATAGCTGGAAGGTGAGTCAAGATGGGAACTACAGGTCTCAACTCAAGGAAGAGTCGCTGAATGATGATTTGCATTTACGTGATCACCAGTCTGGGCCCGAGAGTGAATTTTGTTCCTCTTCTTCAGCGGTTTCGGAAGATGTGGTGTTTGATAGGTATCTTGTAGAAGCTAACAACCATCTGAAACAAGCCAAGGAGTTTATAAGGGGCAGGAGTGACGAAGAACATGCAGAAATGATATTGCACAAGTCTGCAAATTTACTCTCCAAAGCCATTGCCATGAAGCCCATGAGTCTGTTGGCTGTCGGCCAATTGGGCAACACATATCTTCTTCATGGAGAACTAAAATTAAAGATTAGTCGTGAGTTGCGAACTCTCCTCTCAAGACGGGATCCATTTTATGTGAGTAATCGTGGTAGAATCCTCAAAGGTCTAGATGATCAGGTTATAAAGAAAGATAAAATTGCATCTGTCCTTGTGAATGTGTGTGAAGAATGTGAAGAACTCCTAGTGGAAGCGGGCAGAAAATATAGGCTGGCGCTATCGATTGATGGGAATGATGTGAGAGCCTTGTACAATTGGGGCCTTGCTCTCTCCTTTCGTGCACAGTTGATTGCAGATATTGGACCAGTAAGTTTTCACTGGCACCTTGACATTGTTACAAGTTTATTATTGATTCTGTATGTACTGCTTTGATGCCATTTGTTGTGATGCTCAGGGCTGCTTGGTTTGGCCCTTCTTGTGCAAGTGTCCATATAATTAGCTCAGTTAGGATTTTGGACTATAGGACTTACCTTTCTGGAAGCATCTTACTCCTAAACAATTTAACACGATCTTTTTGGATTTCAGGAAGCTGCTTATGATGCTGACAAAGTGTTCTTGGCTGCAATTGACAAATTTGATGCCATGATGTCCAAAGGCAATGCCTATGCACCAGATGGTGAGTAACTTTTTTCTTCACCATAAGTCAAGTGCGTCATAAACTTGTGCTGAGAGGACGTGTTTTACAAAAGATGATATTCGTTTAAGACAATTGCAATTGGATACAGGGAGACCCTGTGTCTCACTTGGAGCTCTAAGAAGCATAGCAATGCAGGAGTTGCAAACATAATATTATTGTCATCCATTAGATAAGATTTGTATCTTTCAAACACATGCTCTATTGCAAGCATAAAATGCACTTATTTGTCCAATAACAAGATGATTTTTCTTTCAGAAGCAATAGAAAAAGAAGTATTGCAGCAAGAAAGTATAAAATCAAACTGAACTTTTAACATTTGTGGCTTGCAGCCTTGTATAGATGGGGTGTGGTATTGCAGCAGAGATCTCGTTTACGGCCGACTAATAGCAGAGAGAAAGCGAAGTTGCTGCAGCAGGCGAGGAGGCTCTATGAAGATGCACTTCATATGGATTCGAACAATCTTCAAGTAAGAGAAGCCTTATTGTCCTGTATGTCTGAGCTCAACCATAGGCTCTTGTAATCAATTGAAGCAAGTGTTGATTGTCTTAATGCTTTCTATTTGTATTCCCTCCTTCATTCTTTCCAGTTTCAGTTTGCCAGCTAGGTTGTATTCTATGTACAGAGAATAATACCCAGATGAGAAAATAAAAGGGAAAAGATCTTACTGATATTGTCTCTTCCTTTTCTTTTCTAGATCCATGCCATTTGATATTTCGGGCATGTTCCCTGAGACACCAATTAATGACCCTGTTAATGGAAAATTACTGTTCTTGTGATCGTTTATCTTTACTTTTTTATTTCCTTTCTAGAATTCCTTTGGTCAAACTTGGGAGATAATTATTTGTTAATAGAAGTCATTGATTTTCATTTTTAGAAAAACCCTGTTGTAATCAAACTCGATGGCCATTTCTTTGATCTAATGGTAGTAGTCTTGGCTTTTCAACCACAAGGACTTTCCAAATTCACCTTGATCAATTGTATTATTTTTGCTTCTTTAAGTCTGCCTACCTCGACTAGATTATGCTCCGAATTATGTCTCTCTAAGAAAAGACCAGAATGCAAATGAGAGGGAAGGATTTAATATGCATCTGATGTGGATTTTTGTTTCTTTAATTCTGCCAATCATACTATCAATCGACAGTAAAGAGACTAGAAGGAAAATGAGAGGAATGGATTTGATAAGCATCTCAAACAAGGTATTTATTACCTTGTTTTTTTTTCACAAAGTTATAACCTTGCTGTATCTGGTGAACCAATGTCCTTTTGAATGCAAGCAACTTTCTGAGTTCTTTAATCCCAAAACGCTACTCTTTGCAGCAAGATTCGTTATTACTCACAGCCATTATATTGCCTTTTCCTTTCTTTTTTCCCGATAATTACATTATATTGTATAAGTTGAATTAATTTAGTTCATCATTAAAGGTCTAATTATCAAACCACTCCCAGGTCTGTGATGTCCATTTTGGCATTTTCATAGTTGAATATAACGGTTTCAAAGTTATAAATATATAAATAAAAGAAAAGGAAACATTAAACAATGCTCAGTTGCTCACGCCAATGACTTGAGACGTTCCCGCAAAACTTGAATCATTCCTGAGAAGGTAACAACACCAACCAAAGCGCTGTCCTCTTCAATAACCCATGTGTAGCTTATACGATGTGAAAGGGCTTGAATCATCACTGCCACCAATGAGCTCCATGGATAGCACACGATTATCTCCGTACTCCTCCCCACTCTTGCTGAATTCCCAGCAATCTTCCCGCTCCTTCCCATTCCGAACTCTTCATCTGATGAAGATGAAGGTGATGAAATTCCTGATTCCTCTTCTATCAAGTCCAAAGCAGGTCCTAGATTCCTCTCTTCCAGTCTTTCCTTCACCAACTTTATCAGGTCCTCTGGCTGGTCGCTGCATTCTATGTAAGCCAACAACTCCCCAGCTGAGAGCGTGGCAATTGCAGCAGCCACTGTCTCGTCACAGAAGTTCAATGTGAATGGAGAGATTTCGTCAATCAGCTTGCCGTCTGTATCAAGAATGGCTACAGATGTTTGCTTAACGAGGGATTGAGAGATCAAGGGCAGTGCAGAGGAGGCAGGGTCATCGTAGTGGATGGTGAAGAAGGAATCGGTCTCGATGATGTTGAGGGACCCAATAGAGTGGGTTGGAGTTGGAGAGAAGGTGCCAATTGAGTTGAGAAGGTAACGGACTATGTCTTCCTGAGTGAGCCAGCAGTATTCGCGGTTGTTGTGGAGGGTGGAGTCGGCGGAGGATTTGTGTACCAGCTTCTTTCTTGTGAAGGGGTTGTGAAGTGGAATCACAAGGTTCTGTGCACCTCCAAGGATGAGATCTATGGCTTCCAATAAGCTGAAAAGGAGCAAGAGAAAATCATTAGATGCACAAAAAGAACACAACTAATATGAGACAGACAGATTAAACAGAACAGGAAATCTCAACGAAAATCATATACAACTGCAGTCATGGTCATAAGAAGATGGTAAATTCACAATCAAATCTATTAAATTACAATTTTTTTTTCTGTTATAACCAATACATAATTTTTTTTCCGGTTACAAGAGAGGCTCAATCCCGAGGACTTGATGGCGTGATAACCAGGAAAAAAAATCAACCAAAAGGCGACCTGGAGAAGAAAACAATATCGACCCTAATAATGGAGAAGAAAACAATATCGATGGTGTGATAACAACCAGAGAAACAAACATTAAAAAGATTTAATTCCGCGTCAAGCACATCCAAAAATATGCGAATTCCCTATAAAAAAAAGCAGGAAAAAAAAACCCAACAATTCCAAATCCAAATCTGAAAAAAATAAAAACCGTTTTCAAGAAATCAGTGAAAGTACCTGGCGTGAGGTTCCAGGTGCCTAACAAGTCCAGGAACCTTAGAACTTAGAAGCACAGAAACCGGCTCCTGCAACGCTTTCCCTGGATTCTTCAAGTTCTCTTCTTTAGACAAGAAGCAAATCACATCCACCAAGCAAACCTTGCCAACGCATTTACATTCTGCAAAGTCAGAATTGATTGATCTTGGAGAGTTACAATGTTGGTGTTGATTACAGCTCCAAACGCTTAAAAACAAATCATCAAATCTCTTAAGAGCAGACAACGCGTTACCGACGGTTGCAGAAACAGACAGAGAGTTTAATGCAGGCTTTCCAAGACATAGGTCAGACACCTCATGAGATAAGATACTTACTGCCATGCACAGACAGAATTTATCAAAGAGGAACACAAGGGTTTTTTCAGAGACGGAGAGAAGGAGAGTTGTAAGAGGAGATAAATTTAGAGAAATGATGTGGGGTTGTTTATAGAGAGAAGGGGAAGCCGCGTTTTGGTTGGCGTAAGAGTAGGAAGACGGTTGGATTATATATAGGCAGTCTTTTACTCGTACACTGAAATTCGCCTTCAGTTTTTTTACGGCAACAGGTGAATTTCATGGACCTGGTTGGGTGGTTATTAATTTATGCAAAAATTTTATGTAATTCTAAAAATAACTAAAAATCCACGCTTTGAGAGTAGAAATTTTATCTTACTTCATAAATAACTAATAATTATTGCATGGAAAAAAAGAGAGAATTAAAAAAAATCTACATTAAAATATTTTTATTATTTTTTTGGATTTGGACATGATTTTCTCTTTTTTCTTTGTCTCGATCAATCTCTCCTTGAAAGATAGTGTTCAAATATAGAAAATAACTCTATTTTATAAAACAATATGTACATAAATGGAAAATAGTATTTTGTAGAGAAATTTTATAATATTGAAGAAGTAATTGATGTACATATACAATAGTTACTTAATAGATCTACTTTTCGAAAGAGAGAGAGAGAGAGATAAACATATATATAAAAAAAATCACATAAGAATCAATCAAAAGTGATAAAGAAGACTTTCAAGTTGACTCAAATTTCTTTTTTTAATTTTTTTCCCTATTTCTCTCCCATCTTTATGTCTATATCTCTCTCTCTCTCTTCTTTATCTCCATCAATCTCTCCTTGAAAGGTAGTGTTTAAATATAGAAAATAACTCTATTTTATAAAATAATATGTCCATAAATGGAAAATAGAATTTTGTAGAGAAATTTTATAATACTCAATAAGTAATTAGTATATATATATAGCAGTTACTTAATGAGTCTACTTTTCAAAAAATAGATAGACACATTAAAAAAAAGAATTACATCCGGACCCATCAAAAGTGATAAGAAGACTTTCATGTAACTCAAATTTCTTCTTTATTTTTTTTCTTATTTCTCTCTCATCTTTATGTCTATCTCTCTCATCTTTGTCTCAATCTCTCCTTAAAAGGTAGTGTTCAAATATAGAAAATAACTCTATTTTATAAAACAATATGTCCATAAATGGAAAATAAAATTTTGTAGAGAAATTTTTTAATACTCAAAAAGTAATTGGTGTACATATACAACGCTTACTTAATGGGCCTACTTTTCAAGAGAGAGATAAACACATAAAAAAAAAAAAAGATTAAAAGTGATAAGAAGACTTTCATGTTGACTCAATTTTTTTTTCTATTTCTCTCTCATCTTTATGTCTATCTCTCTTTATAGAATAACTTACACTAGTTACTCTTTGAGTAATATAAAATTTTTCGAATTTTGTATCCAAATATGGTGTTTTTCCTTTTAGAGAATTAGAAAACAAAATCTTTTCAATTCTCCAAATTATTAGTTTGAAAAACATCTTTTTTATGTTTTCAAATTTCTTTTTGTGTTTTCTATAGAAAACGAGAGTTTTCATCTTTTAGATGACAAAAACATCCTTTATTATTTATGTAAATTTTGTAAACCCAATATATTTTTTAAATACTCCTAATTGATAAAGAGTGCCATTTTAAAATATATATATTTTTTAATTTGGACATGATTTTTTTTTCTTTGTCTCAATCTCTCCTTAAACGACGGTGTTCAAATATAGAAAATAACTCTATTTTATAAAAAATTATGTCCATAAATGGAAAATAGAATATTGTAGAGTAATTTTATAATACTCAAGAAATAATTAGTGTACATGTATAATAATTGCTCTATGGGCCTACTTTTCGAAGAGAGATTGACACATAAAAAAGAGAATCACATTCGAATCCATCAAAAGTGATAAAGAAGATTTCCATATTAACTCAATTTATTTTTAAAATTTTTTTTCCTATTTCTCTCTCCTTTTTGTGTCTATTTCTCTTTATAGAGTAACTTACATTAGTTACTCCTTGAATATTATAAAATTTATCGAATTTTATATTCAAATACGAGTGTCTTTACTTTTAGAGAATTACTTTTAGAGAATTAGAAAACAAAAATTTTCAATTCTCCAACTTATAAGTAATTTGAAAAACATCAAAGAGGAACTAAAAGTTTTGCAATTTTAGGAGTAAAATATTTACAATAGTATATTATTTTTACATAATTATTTTAAATTTGATTATTAATTAACTTAATAATTTTTTATTTGATTTACCACCTTAATTTTGTATAGATATTTTTCAAAAAAATTAATATTAGTTTCACATAATGCATGAATAAATTTGATAACTAATGATTTTAACAAAACAATATTTTAAAAAAATATGAACAAAATATCAATGGAAATGTTAGCACATCATGTCTTTAAAGTCAGTAGATTTCCTGCCTTATATAGTTATAACATTTAGCAAATTTTATACGATATATAGCTTTGATATTTTAATTAATTCTTAATTATGATAAATCAGGGACTTTGACCTAAAAGTTTGGTGGTTGAATGAGGTTTTAGAAATAATTTTTGTTTATTTAAGTGAATTTTTTAATTTAAAATTTGTAAAGACTCATTGCTAACTATTTTGTACGAAAATATAATTAATTATAAAGAAAAGGATTAGTAGCATTTAAGCTTAGAAAGAATAGGAATTAATAATGTTTCGAATTTTTAACTATTTGACTTTAAATGGTTTTTTGATACGATGAAGTTTCTTTTACTTCATGCTTTCATCAATAAATATCACGATCTACTACTTGTTCCTCGTCGTTGTCGAAAACACGTAAGTACCAAATTGTACTAACAGTGGAAAGGCTGTTGATTCAACGACATAACATTTCTTATCAGGATTTTGGCTGTCGTGAAGTGAATTATTATGACGATGACTCACGTCTAGCAAAAGTTGTGTGAGCTGGTGCCACTAGCATTGTGTGGCTGTATAAACTCAAGCCATCTACTTCACGCTAAAGCCAAAACAACATATTCGCAAAGATACGCAATTAATCAAGTTCAGAATATATATATATATATATGCCCTTTTGATTTATTAGCCTCATTAGCAGCATTGAGAGAATATTCAAGAGTTCCAATAAAGGGCAGAAACCATACTCTCTGTCTATAATATATATATATATATATATTTTTTTCATTTGAAGGCATATTGAAGTGTTTTCAATTTAATAACATGAGTACGTAAGGGAGAGTAGATGGCATGAAAGTTAATTTGTATCAAGGAGAAAAATGTTAGATGCAAAGTATAAAGGTGGATAATAATTATCATTTTTTTCCAATAGGAAATAAGTTATCATTCTATTCCTGAGTTGTTTTATACCAAATTTAATTGGAGGACGAAGATTTGGGTTAGTAAAGCGAAATAGTAGAAATTAATTAGCACATAAAAGTACCTCTTTTCTCGGAAGAAAGAGACACATTTAAAAAAAAAAACAGATAACAACATAAGTTTATCCGTCACTAAATGGCAAACAAATAACGATATGATAGTATTTATTGGAATCAGTGATGGAAATAACGATGGTTTATTAGCGATGGACATTAATCCATCATTAAGTTTGGCGATAAAATTTTTTTGAAAGTTTTAAAAACAATTCAGCGATGGATTCACTAGAAAAAATAATAACGAAATAGCAAATCCATTGCTATTTTCAATGTGTCGATTTAGTGACGGAATATTAGTCATAAAAGGATAAATTTCTTGCAATTTAATGACAGAAAAATTTGTCGCTAAAAGTGAAAAATTGAGCAAAATTGAATAGACTTTTTTGAAAATAATAAAAAATACTAAATTTACAGTAGATTAGCGATGAAAACTGACTTATGTCGCTATATGTGAAAATAATAAGTGGCTAACTATAGAAAATTGGACGTCTAGTTTCAGACGGATTAGCAACGGATATAATCTTTTGAACATAACGAGGTTAAAAGTCGATTTTTTTTTCCTGAAGTGGGAAGTATTAAAGATCATATATCTCAAGGTTTAAAGTTGGAAATCACCCATAAAAAATGATAGAGATTTAAACTGATTTTTCCATTATAAAGAAAATGACATCGTATAGTCAATAATAATAATCATATAGATTCAAATTCATAAATTTGGCACTCACATATGTGTGAAGGCCTATGAAATTTAATAGTACGAGTAGAATTGTTAAAGGCACTTGCAGAAGGCCTTCTAGTCCACCGTTATTGGTGTAAAAGAGAGCGACAAATTATGATCATCATGGTTGTTATAAATCACATCTTTGAAGAAAATATCTCCCAGAAGAATTAATGGTCCCTGGATTTAGTTGGAGTTCCTATCCTGCTGCAGCTAGCTTGATGTAAACTTTCCAGGAATTTTTCCATTATGAATTTTGGCACGGCGCACCTTTATTATGTGAGATCCGAATAGCCGTTGGCTTGTGAAAAGACATTATTTCTAGCGATAGCAATAGTCAGAACAACAACAGTTCACCTACAAAATTTTGTGGAAGACATTCAACCAATTTTATTGTTTGATTTCGACAAAATCAGCTTTCCATAGACTTATTTTGTTTGCAAATCTATGTCTTTTCCCCCTGCAATTCGAAAAATTATATCAAGCTACAATATTTTAAAATAAATGGCAGATAGTTTACATAGACGAGGAAGACAAATATAAAACAACATTCATTGTTTCAAAAATAAAACATTATAATTATAAGAATTTATTAATTTTTTTGAATGCGTTAAGTTGATATAGAAAATGTATTTTTAAGATTAAAGATTTAATCTCAATCGATTTGCACAAGATGATACAAGAATATTCTTTATTGTCGCATTAAAGAAAAAACATTGATAGTTGTTTTTGGACATGATAAATGGAATCTATGTAGGACTTCGAATTGTTTTTTTTAGTAGAAGATCTTAATGGACCTTAAATTACACAATAAAGAATAATCCTTTTGCATAATATAATTATAATTGAAAAAACTACAATCACAAAAACCTAGAACTTATTTCAGTAAAAGAAATTATCATATTATTTGCTCAATCTTTAAATTGGTAAGATAAAACAAGGCATAACTTCAAATTGGAATACTCAAAAACTATTGGACATACATTACCTGTTAATCCTTCACTATAAGTTATTCAATTAAATCATCAAGATCAAATTAGAAAATCTCAAGAAAACTACAAGTTTATGCATAGAAGTTTAGTCCAAATTACAGTAAAATGATTACATCGATTAGGATTGTATTCTTTTGTTTTTTGAAGATAAGCTGGATTCACAACTTTTCAAATTCTTTATTAGTAGTTTTTTAATTAAACTTGGCTAATGGTACAGTTTATTTCAACTCGCTATCTAAATTTCACAAGTATCAATATTTGATCCACATACTCTAAAAACATTAACTTTAAATATGAAAATTCTTTTTGGTTTTAAGATTCAATAAATACTGTTCTTATCTATAGAATTAAATCCATATGAAAATCTTATCAAACATGTTAATGGAAAGCCAATTTCAAAATGGATTGTCCAAGCACCAAAGCTCTTACAATGGAATAAAATTACTTATCAAACTAATGAAACTAGTTTACCTCATGCTTTTACAGGATAAAAGACAGGCTTGAACCATTATTTAAATTCAACCTTCTTCCGTTAAGAATTGTAACTAAAAGGATTAGTTTCCTTGCTTATCTTTATACAATAGGTTAAATTTTCAATATGTTTCTAAATCTAAAAACACGTTCAATCTAATTATGTTATTTGAGATAGTTTCGATTTATTATTCTAGTTAAAAATTTTGACTAATTCACCGTAAATTAATCTTTATAGTAGATATAGATCATTTACGTCAAAAAATAAAGATAATTTTATCAAATCACATGTTTAATTTAGTCAAAAATTTTAACTAAAAAGATAGATTAAAACTAACTTAAATAACATGGATATATTGGGGACGTTCTTGAATTTAAGAACATATTGAAAATTTGATATATTAAATAACGATAGACAACAATATTAAGCCTAAATGAAATGCATATATATATATATATATATATATATATATATATATGGGTGTGCACGCCCACGTGCACATACTTCTATCTCAACTTTACAACTTGAAGTCTTTAATTGTTAAATTGTTTGATCTTGGTCTCCAAATTTAACTAATTTTATGATTCATTGAAATATATTTTGAAATTATATCAAGAGCATTTATATATTTATAACATATATCCCTCTACACAACCATAAAAAATAAACCATATTTGTTTATGTAATAACATTTTAATAAACGAATATAAATTTGTTCGTCGCATGAATCTTGGTATACAAGTGGAAGTTCTCATGTATAGAAGATGAATAGATTGTTTATGATGATCCGTGGTTCATCTAAGATGGTAGGATGTTCAACTATGAAAGCCGAGCCTAAAAAATAAATAGAGATTTTTAGAGGCTTGGGAATGTTTTCGAAAGGCCATTTCAATGGTCAAATCGGTAAATTTCTTAATTGATAATAGTAAGGAGGTGAGACCAAGAGAGAATAATAAGATATTTTTAGTTACTAACGAGCATCTATTGAATAGTGACTTAGACTTCTCTATAGAGTGTTGGAATATTTTCTAGAGATTTCTTGCTTGGAGCCTAAATGGATCTTTTTGTATAAATATTACATTTGGTAATGTTATGACAAACATATATTTTACCTTGTTTTTGTTAATAATTAGAAAGAAAGCGAATGGTTAAAAAAAATAAAAATAAAAATAAAACATGATCACAATAAATACAAGAGAACATGAAGCATTAAAAAAAATCATAAAAAAGTCTTAAACTTATAAATACAAGTTACATGAAGGAAAAAGAGACAATCAACAATAGCAATCAAATGCTTGCAACAACGAAAAAACGCTCATGATCGAGCATTTTCATAAGTTTTAACACTTAAAATTTGTTAGGTAGTGCATTGTAGGCAATAGTTTATAGATAATAGCTTGTAGACAATAATCAAAATAAATTGATAGATTTATAGGCTGATAATTTAGCTTTTTTGTTCCATTCATGCCTATAACCCATGTATATTAATGATATTCATGGATTGAATTTTTGTGAAAAATATTATATCCAGAGAAAAAAACCTCAATTTCTATTCTCATCAATAAACATAAAGAACTTTGAGTATTGTTGAGTTTGCAATAATTTTTTTTTCATTCTTTTATTACTAAACCCTCTTAGTTAAGATCAACATAAAATAACCTAGAAGACATACCTAACAAAATTAAATTTTAAGATTGTTTATTGTGGAAACTTCAATCAAAATATATAAACCCTAATTTTTGTTTTCTATTGGTTAATTTTTGTAATTTCTTATGGAAATAAAAAAACTCGCATGCTAATAATGACCTCCTAACTTTATAAACATGTGGAGCTTGAATTTATTTGGATATAAGTAATCCTCATACATGATTTTTAGAGAGTAATCCTTCAAAACCGATCGAACATCGCGCAAAACGAACCAAAAAATTAATTCGTTAAGTATCGAAGTTTATATGACAAGTGTGTTCTTTAATGATGCACTCGCATTGAATATTTATAATTTATTTTCAAATGAGTTGACAAGAATATAAATAGTCACTTTAATCATTTAAAACAACTATGGCTAATAATTGCCAAGCGTTAGTTTAGAATGTCATGCAAGAATCTCATATGATCTTTTCTTGAAATTGTTCTGGATTTCCTATTAGGTTTTTAGTTATAGCAAATATTAATACTACCATAACATTTTCCACTTGTTTAGGATTTGAAGTTCCTTTCTGCTTCTATCGTGGCAACTTGTTTATGTATGAATTGATTGTATGTTTAGTGCTTGATAAATATTTTTTTAGTAAATTGTTGAGTATCCAACTCATGCATCTATGAGAATTTTTGTTGTTGCATTTTCTTTAGAATTCCAATCCTAAATGATTAAAAAAGAAATTTAACAAACCCTAAACTTAAAATAATGAAAGGCATCCATCTCATGGATCAGTAGGAGCCACAGGAGAATTAACCTAACATTATACGATAACCTCTTAGACAACACATCATCATATATATATATATATATATCATAATACCGTACAATGACAATTTACGAACGGCTGTGGGGTTATACGACCTAGTATTGTCAATAACACCATCCGTATCACGGATGTTGTACACAAAATAAACAAATCCACGTGAAGATGCCCCCACTTGATCATCCAATTCTCTGAATCCTAATCAATCATTGATGGATACCTTTAACTGACAAATCTTTCAAGAAGGGAAAGCATTGATAATTATCTTACAAGACAACCTTTTGTCATTCCTATGCAGGTATGCGAATCCATCCTCCACGTTTCTATCTAGAAGGATTTACCTCCGTATTTTCTGAAGACCAGGCGGTTAGAGAATTGTTTTTTTTTTTTTTCTTAAAAAAAAAAAAAAAACTAAGAGAGTGATGAAGAACAAAGTTGATTAATTCAAATGTCTTACATTTCATCCTACGGCCAAAACAACCCAAAAGAAATTCCAATTATATGATATTTGTTTTTGTCTACTCATATAACATAAAAATAGAATGAGACAAATATCGAAATGCATTTCATGCTCAAACTTTAAAAGAAATTCCAATTATAGATGCCTTTTAGTGGCTGCGATTGAATTTGAAATTCAAAAACCCCACATATATTACTAATTTTATGTTCCGGTGAAAATAAACACACACACATTTACAGTTCCAAACACAATTTAATTTCGAGACAGTTGGTCATTGTTTACTTAATAAATGCTCTCTCCATTTTATTTTTATTTTTTTAAGTTCAGAAGGTATATATATGGATGAAACTATAGCTCCTTTTCTAGTAACTCTTTAGTTGAAGAGAATAGTTTTTTATTTTTTATTTCTAGTTTTCTTTTTCATGTTCCGCTGAGAATATAAGAAAAATGTGTTCATCTGGTCAATTTTTTTTTTTAAATTCCACTTTAAAAATTGAAAAACGTGTTCAAACAAAAAAAAAATTCTAGATAATTTTATAATTTTTTACTTACATGGTGATTTATTTAACTTTTAATAATTTTTTTCTTATTAATACGACATTAATTAATGCTAGTGTAATTTCATATAATTTATTATGTGGATGTACAAGTCCTATTGTTCACAATATTGTAATTATTTTATTCATGATAAAAAATATGTTTCCTCAATTCTAAAGAAATCATTTCTTTTGACTTTTCAAAACAATTTAATAAAATTATTACTTGGTATGCCATATCAGTATTTTTTGTGACAAACAAACAAGAGTCTTTTAGCTTGAAAAGTATGCTCTCCTCCATAGTTCTTATATATATATATATATATATATATATATATATATATATATATATATATATATATATATATATAGAGAGAGAGAGAGAGAGAGAGAGAGAGAGAGAGAGAGAGAGAGAGTGGATTTTGTAGTTTGCAACGTAAAACAAAAAAATAAAAATAGTTAACTTGTAAATAATATATCGAATAAACTTAAAGTTAATATGCTAAAATAAAAACTATTACAAATTTGATTTCGATAAATTTTGATTATATGCATAAATAGCGAATAAAAAATATGAAATTCCTTTTGTTTCTTATATATATATAAGTCATACGTGGCCGATCCTTATGCATTGACCTCACATGCGGAGCTATGATTCAAAAATTTTAAGAATTCATCATATAAATTATATTTATATTTTATAAAAAAATAAAAAATAATTATGTTTTAAAATTTTATTTCAACATCCATACGTTGATAAAAAAAATCATATTTGTTAGTAAATAAAATTTAATAAAAAATAAAAAATTGATTCAATGAGATTTTACATAATAAATGACAAATTGAAGGAATAAGTTTTAAATAATGAAGATAATAAAATCTAAAATATATTTTCATTTTGAAAAAATAAAAACATATCATATACATTTCTTAATCTCCAAGTTGTTTGAGAAAAACTAAAAATAATGATTGATCATTCATAATTTTTGCCGAATAATTCATAAAAGTAAAAATTAAATTAAATTAATGAAAAAAAGGCTCATGAGTATCAAAAGTGAAAAAAAAAAACCCAAAGGACCAATATATATATGGCCATCAATTGTCACATTTCATGCTCCAAGCAAAAGGAAAATGTTCATACAAAGATTATTGTGTTACCCATTTAATCCGTACGAAGATTATTATGAACCGTCTAAAACCAATCTTGCTTTCTTTGGTTACTCTTGTTCAAGTTAGTTGTGTTTATGATAAGAGAACTACGGATAATATATATTCACTACACCAAAATTATGTTATAGGGGTAGAATTATTGAGGCGGTAGTCTTGACCACCTCAAAGAATAAAAGAATATGTGCATTTAGTTATTTTTAAAACAAAATTATGAAGCGAGTTAGTAAAACCGCCCCTAGTTTAAAATTTTAATACTTTATATTTTTTTTCCTATTTACTCTCTCGCCCCTCATTTAACACATGAGTTTTTTTAAGTTGTTTCACCTCTCCTTCAAGCAACTACCTCCATCCGTTAAAAAAAAAATTGAATTTTTTTCTCTTCTCCTTCAACAACAAACAACCCCTCTTCTCCTTCAACAACAAACCGCCCTTTCCCTTGAATCTTCTCCTCCAACAATAAACCATCCCTTCTCTTGATAAAGAAATTAGGATTTTCATCTTCTCCATCAACAACAAAGAATTACGATTTTTCATCTTCTCCTCCAACCTCAAAAAATTAGGTTTTTTTCTATCTTCTCCTTCGTCCCCCTTTCCTTGACAAAAAAAATGTTGTGAAATTCAATTGCATACCTAGACTCGTTGATTCTTGAGCAGAAGCTCTTCAAACAGTGGGTTTTCAAAATTTATGTAATAATCTCATAAGTGATATGGTCTTATTTATATGAGCATCATATCTTGTTTTTCTTAATTTCTGTCAAGATCTTTTTGGGGTTTTTTCCGTCGGTATCAACAATTCATTTCGGGGTATGTCTACTTTGGTTAGAGAAGAAATGGATCTTCTCAAGATTGTTACTTCGTGTCCGTATTTGTCACTTGAAAATTTATCAACTAGTTTTGACCAATTTGTGTTTGCTTGTTATGCTATTTCCCATATTTTACTATCCGAATAATTTAATTTTCCCAAGTTCTTCTTGTTTGGATAATTAGATTTGATATACTCGAACTTTTTTTATAACATTTTCGGGGTGGGAACATCGGCTCCCACGTTTAAGAGAGGTAGTTGAGAGTAGTTAATTGCTAACTATTGATTTTCATGGGACATGTGATGTAATTATGTGAATGTTTTCCCATTATCGTATGTATGATCTTTTGTAGTCATTTTTTTTGGTAAACAATTTCACTTTCTTCTTTAAAGTTTCACCTACAATGAAAATCCTATCCCATTTTTTTTTCACATTGCCGATTATGAAAATCTCAAGTTAAAATAGGAAAAGCTAGTAAAGTTTACTAGCCGAGAGCATGCTCGTTTAGTATCGAAGGAATTAATGTATATTAATTCTAACTTCTTTCTATTTGTGTTATTATAGATCTTAATCATGAATGATCCAAGCATTTCGGATGAAATTTTTCATATTGTTTCAATATGTTAATTCTATGTATAATTTTAGTTTTGGTAGATGTTTGGAATACTCGCTTTAAGATCTGCAGTGTTTTTTTTTTTTAATTACAAGCATGTTACCTAGTAGTTTATATAGAAACTTTACTTGTTTAGAGATTACTTGTTATCTTTAGTGAATTTGGTATTTTAATTTTTAGTCATTAGTAAGTTAATTGAATGAATTTTGTTACTAATTGGTATTTGGTTATGTATTATAGATGCAAATAGGTTGATTGGTAGGAGATTTATTGATGCTTCGATCCGCAGTATATTAAGCTCGGCCATTCAAGGTCATTGCTAGTCCTGGTGACAAACCAATGATTGTGGTTACCTATAAGGGCGAGGAGAAGCGAGTTGTAGCTCAAGAGATTTCATCTATTGTTCTCATTAAGATGCGTGAGATTGATGAAGCTCTCCACTATCAAGAATGTTATGGTTATGGTCCCTATTTACTTCAATGACTCTCGAAGACGAGCCATAAAGGATGCTCGGTGTTATTATTGGTTTGGATGTTGTGCGTATTATCAATGAGCCTACTGCTGCTGCCATTGCTTATGGATTTAACAAGAAGGCAACCAATGTTGGTGGGAAGAATGTTCTAATTTTTTATTTGGGTGGTGGTACTTTTGATGTCTCTCTTCTTACCATCGAGGAGGGTATCTTTGAGGTGAAAATCACTACTAGAGATACCTATCTTGGAGGTGAGGATTTTGACAACAGAATGGTGAACCACTTTGTTTAAGAATTTAAGAGGAAGAATAAGAAGGATATTAATGGAAATCTTGGAGAACTTAGGAGGTTGAGAACCGCTCGTGAGAGGGTGAAGAGGACTCTCTCATCCACTACTCGGACCACCATCGAGATTGATTCTCTGTTTGAGGATATTGAGTTTTATACATTAGGTACTTATTTTAAACATATCAAAAACTTTCTTTATGTATTTCGAACAAGTGTTTAATACTTTATTTTTTTTATTTTTTTTCTTGTGGATGTTTGAAGATTTTTTATGTATTTATAATTTGATAATTACTAATTTAATATTGTGTAAGCTATATAATTTTTTTTATATGCATTCAACAAGATGTAATTTTTTTAAAAAATTTTTTTAACCAAACAATAGAGTAAATATGTAACCCCCGTAAAAACTCTTATCCATAACACGACGTGTATTAGAATAATTATATATATATATATATATATATATATATATATATATATAGAGTGAGTATAATTCTCATTTTACCATGAGAAATTAATGCTTGCAATGTATGATTTATGTTAAATTAAAGTTATTATGTTTGAAATTAATGATCTAATTATTGAAGAAATCAAATATGCAAATTGAATATTGAAAACTATATTCTATCCCAATTTTAGTGTGATTTAATTGAGGACTTTAGAGTGATTTTTGGATAAAACTTAAAGAATAGACATTGTTCATCTATGTGTCTACTAACTCTCTGAAAACTTTTGTAATTTTTAGATCTATATAGAAAATGTTATAGCCAATGCAGTACATACCGGTTTTGATGTATCATTGCTGGAATTTTAGGGAAAAAGAATTCCAAATTTTAAACAAAAATTGAAATTTCTGAATTTTCATGAACAAAAAATAGGTTTATTTATTTAGACAAGATTAGTTGGGATGTTAGTTACTCTAACTAATTAGTTAGGACACTTAAGCATATGCATTAATGGAAGTCAAAGCTAACTTATCACTTTGACCTTCCAAGCCTTCCTAATCTGCCACCTTACCTTCCAAACTCCTCTTACTTTACACCTTGCTTAATTAAATTTTGCTATATAATACATCAATCAAGAAGAGGATAAGTGAGGTATATAAGGGTGGGAAAGGCTAAACTTAGTCATTTTTTGGGCAAAAACCGTAGCATCCAAGAAGGAAGAGAGAAAAATTTTAGGCGACCATTGCTACACAAACAAGAGAGAAAACCAATTAAGAAAAAAAAAGGGGAGAGAAAATCATAGCAAGAAAAAAGAGAAGAAGGAAAAAGAAAGAAAAGGAAGGGAAAGGAAAAAGAGGGGAAAAACTATGGGAAAGAGCCTAAGCTAATCTATCTAGGTAAGTGGGTTTTCTTTATTGCTTTATGTCATGCAATTGATGTTATTATAAATGGTTAAGCTTCGTTTTGTGTTGTGATGTGTTTGTTAATTTGATTATGTTGATTAGGTTGTTCCATGATTGATAATTGACAATGGTTTGATTGTGATAGTTAGTTATATGATTATTTGGTGAGTTTTGATGGTTTTGTATCTAGTAAATGGATGGGTATGGCCAATGGATTTGGTTGACCGAAAACATAGTGGGTGAAATTAGGACATATATGGATTTGAATAAACATGAAGTAGAAAGGAAGAAAAAAATGAAACTTTAGGGTTTTCGTGAATAAAATTTCGAGCGAGAATGTCACACGGGCGTGTCTTTGCCCGTGTAATGACTAAATGTGTTTTTCTTCGAGACAGAGAGTTACACGGCCCCCACATGGGTATTTCTTTGCTCGTGTAATGACGAAATGTGTTTTATTTAAGTCGAGAGTTACACGAGCATTCCACATGGGCGTGTCCTTGCACGTGTAATGACTAAATTTGCTTTTCTACTAGGCGGAGAGTTACACGGCCTCCCACACGAGCTTGGCTTTTCCCGTGTAATGAAAAAATATGTTTTCTTCAAGTCGGATAGTTACACGACCTCGCATACGGGTGTGTCCCGGCCGTGTAATTCACCGGTCACTTAAAAGTCACCCTTTTTGTTCCATACTTATTCGGTTTCCATTCCTTTCACCAAGATAATGTAATAAATGATTAATTAGGCTCGGATAGATAGAAAATGAAGATAAAAAAATATACTTTAATATATTTAAAAGTTGATGTAAATATGAGTAATTATGCAACTCAAAAATACAAATGATTTAACGATTTAAGTTACTAAAAAAAAGAAAAGAGAAGTATTTACACACATAATTAGACCCATTACTCAACCAATACAATATGTCGATATTTCATTTTAACAAGGGGGAAACATGATGATAAAGGGCATAATTATGTTGGGTCGCGTTGTGTTGATGTGATAGTATTATTATGATTGATTGGGATATGATTGTTTGGTAATATTGAATAGGTAAGGATGGTCTGGTGTGAATTGTTAAAGCTTGAGAGACCTCGTGTGGGTTAGATCTATGAAAATATTTCATGATGATAAGGGGTAGGATTATGCTCGAAACCCGAGTGTGGGTTGGACCTATGATAATATATGAAATCGAATCCCGTATGGCTTGCATATATTCAATATGACATGCATCATATCACGTGCATCATGTGCATAGTGGGTGGTGTAAGATAAGTCAATTGATTGAGAAATGGTTTATACATCTAGGCTTGATAGCCTAACCGAAATAGATTGGTATTAGTAGTCTAGTACTCTAGGTTGTGTGTCCGCACTATTAGACGATGGATTCCCGTTAATAGTAGTTACAACGAAGGATAATTTCGTTGTAGCAGAAGATGATCCGAGGATCATCTCGGATGAAATCAAGTCGTGTGCTTGCATTGTTAGACGATGGATTCCCGCTAAAAGTAGTTACAACGAGGGATAATTCGTTGTATCGGAAGGTGATCCGCGGACCACCCGGATGATAAATAGAGTAGATCGGCTAATACCCGTGGTACCCGAGATTAAAATTTATGAGTATGATGGAAAGTCAAAACAACATTGCATATCACGTACATCACCCCACTTACCGAACTTCGGCTCACCTCGTTGTTATTTTTATGTCGTGACGGGAAAATGGCAAGTTGGTACGGATGCGGTTGGCTCCTCTTAATTGGCTCATGTGAGGCACTATATATTAGTTTTTATTTTATCCGTAAATTTAGGATATGGAGTTCATGAGTAATCGAATATTGCTCGTAATGTTTTGTTAATGTATATAATTACGTGATGTAAATTTTATCTTAAGGAGTTATATACATAATGTGCTCGTTAAAATTTTAAGACTATCATAAGAGAACTACTTAGAATTTAGGATATGTCGGTGTAACGCGCTTCGTCCAGAGTGCTCTACTTGGGTAGTAGTAATATGATCAGGGCGGAGGCGTTACAAAATAATTGAATTTAAAGGCAGAATAAAACTAAAATTCTAAATGTGGTTACACAATTATCCCTATAAATTTGAGGTGAGTTGGTTGAAATTGCCCCTATTAATTTTTTTAAAAAAATTCAGGAATGTAGAGGTGGTTATAAACCGTTGCAAAAATTACGTGCCAAAAAAAAAAAAAAAACAATTGGTATTGTAGAGGTGGTTATAACCACCTCAAAAATCAGTTTGAGTCGGTTCTAGCTACCTCAAAAAATCTATCTCACAATTCTCCGACGGTTGCCAAAACCGCCTCTACAATATAGAGATGGAGGTATTGCATAATTTTTAGAGACATTTATAACCACGGCTAAAAAAAAAAAAAAACTGCTTGTACCTGTTTTTGGTATAGTGATTTTTTTTATGCACGAGTCTAACATCTCTAAAAGTAAATAATGTAGTTGGAAAACAAAAAAGACAAGAAACACAAACAAAATGATCTCCCTTGGTACTCTCGACTCTGCCCCTAACAAAGTTGTCTTCCTTTTCTTAGGTTATTTGTGTTACCCATTTATCTACAGCATCAGGCTCTTTGTACTAGGGTTTTGGTACCTTGCAAGAGTCTTTCCTCCGTTTGTCTCATTCGTGAGAAAGCAAACCTTTGGTACGCTGGAAGTCTGGATTGATTGCCATTCGTCAATTGAAAGAAGTCTCTTCGGGTTGGAGCATCTGGAAGCAATTTGCATACCTGCTGGCTGCCACAATAAAATAATATGCCACCACGGTGTTGTTTATCCACTTGCTATAGCTGAGAAATGATTTATGCAGTCCAGCTACTAGCATGGTTAAATTACAGGATCTTTTGATCAGATACTTAATTTGACTAAGCACCATGAAAATTATAGTATAAAAAGACCCCACAAGGCCGACTTCTATGACTATTAGCTTCTACAAATGTCAAAATGCGTCTAATAATCTGTCGCTTAGCTGATTAAAGCTGTAGAAAGATGCAAACTTGGATTATTTGCAGACTGCTTGCTTACAATTCATTTAAATAGCTTCCAAAGAGCTAATTTACCACAGACATGGATAGTGACAGCAAATTACGGCTCGGAATTGACAAGAAGATTTTTTATGAGCATCTTATCAAATTACGTGGTATTATCTTGACTGTCGAAGATCCATCATAAGTTTGATCCTTAAAACACCAACTGCCAACAGTAAAGAAGTAGGTGACAAAACCAACAGTTTATACAGGCAAAAATAAAGGCTTGGTCGATATTGGCACTTGCAATTATGCAAGTTGTAACCACACACGCTCTTTTGGCATCTTTTCAAGTTTTTTACCTCATAAAATGCTCCCTGCACGT